ATGAGAGAGATCCGGGCATGCTTAATGCCGAAATTGCCCAGATGTTTAACTCAGACATGGAAGGTGAAGAATCTGATGGAATTGTGGAAGTTGAATGGACTGAAAAAGTAAGTGTATTTTTCCATATTTAATGTGTTACAGTTTAACAATGTTAAGAGTTACTGTGAATGAGCTTAATAAAGGTCGAGTTATCTGGCTGTTTTGTTTGTCTTAATGCGCCTTATAATATGGTGCGCCTTATGTATGAAAACAGACCCACTCTTCAACGGTGCGCCTTATAGTGTGGAAAAAACGGTACAGGGAAAAAAAATTCATTCAATTTGAAATGTGAAATGAAACAATGACACAGATTCAACACAAGTTTTCTACCTGTTCATATGTATCCAGCTCAGCCCTAATGTCATCCAGTTGCTGCCTGGTAGTGCACTCCACCTGCTGCAGCTCTGCAGACAGCTCCTGCTCCAGATCCAGCCACAGTTTCTCACAGTGTTCAGCAGAGAGCTTTGTCTGAGCAGGAACAGAGGAGAGAAAAACATCCTTGGCCAGCTCCCCGAGCCTCTTGGACCAAGAGGTACGAAGTTTCTGAAGACACAGAAACTACATAAGAAAAACAGACGAGCTCTGTAAGCAGACAGAATTTAGCGATTGATCATTTACCTTCCAGAGGTCACAGAGGCCGTCAACCACCCTTCTGTCCTGCTGCTGCTCCAAGTCCCAAATCTGTTGCCTGTGCTTCATCAGCAACTCATGATATACCTGGAGGGCACATAAGCTCAGACTTACTTGCACACTTTCCATGGTCTCTTTTGCCTAGTTATTGTAACTACAGTGACTAAAACTGACAAGAGGAAAATTCCTCAAGTACCAACAGATAATCATATTCTTTAAAGCTCTTTCACACAATCCCATTTCAACAGTAATCCTTAAGGTATTGGACCTGACCTTGGTAAGCTCCTGTAGGTCACTGGGACTCTGTTTCAGTTCTAAGGCACGGCTCTTCTCCTTGGTGTGACTCCTCTGAAGCTTCTTCCTCTTGGACACCTTTTTGCTGCACTTCTCATTCACCAGCTCATTTGTCTTTTTCATGCAATCTGCAGCATAGAGGAATCTGTCAAGCTCAGGATTATCAAGACAACTGCATTTGTTTTATTGCAGTGCAAAGATAGTTTGATGAATATAGAATAAAAGTTAAGTAATATGCTTTACTTGGTGTATTTAGCAAGTAGTCGTGACAGAACAATGTCTCCTAGCTGCATAGCTCCATAGTCTACTTAGGTTTCTCACAATTATTAAAATCTCGAGCACAAAAGGAAATAAAAGTACCAATAAGTCCAAAAAGAAAAGATTCTTTGGCTGAAAATTGTAGGCACAGTTAACGTCTAAACAGCATTGTCCTGTTTTTGTTGTCTATGACAACAGTGAGGGATATGTAGAAAGAGGCTGAGAGTCTGGGATGCACTAATACATACAGTATGATACTCTCTGCTGTCCTGAAAGAACTTGACCTTATTTAAGGAGCTAAAGAGGATTCCCAGAAAATGGCCTATTTTCAGAGTCCACCACTTAAATTTAAGAACTAGGCTAGATATTACAGATTGCCATTTGTCTCTGGGAACCATTTGAGTATATTAGAAGATAACTCCACACACATTTGGTCAATCACTGCAAAACTGTCATTACATTTTTTTTTCCTGTTTAGTAAATATATGCCTTAAGAAACATACATCTTACTGTCAAATATAATTCTCTTATTTGGTAGAACCACACAATAATTTCACGAGATTCAACTAAAACTATTTCAGTTTATTCGTCTTACCGTCAGTGCACTGCTGAAGGCCTTCAATCAGTGTAGCCTGAATTTTTGAAAGTATCTTTTCCATTTGGCTAAATTTCAACATGTTATCGCTTGTCAGCTGTTCCAGAGTTGTAGCCATCAAGCCTTGCCTTAGAGTCACCTCCTGTCTTAGCAAGGCAGGCTGGGATTGAATGAGACCTGTCAGCTCCTCCCACCACAACAACTTCTGTTGCATTTTCTAAGAAATGGAAAATAACAGAAATACTCAGAAGCATATTTTCAGTCTTAAAATGATGACAAAAGTGATGAGAATAAAAATAAACGCTACTCCAAATGACGAGTGTTGGTTAACCTTTAGATCTACTTCTTGAGCCTTCAGCAGATGCTTCTCTACTAACAGAAGTGTCTGAATCAGAGACTGAATCACATTCTGAGCTTCATCTGGAGAGAAAGAGCTGGTCTTCTTAAGTAGCTGTTTGCACAAGTCCTCCACCTGTTTGCTGAAACTTTTGGACTATGAAGAGAAACAAACATTGTGCAGCCATGTTTATTCATGGAAGGACAGCATAAATAGATGGAGTCTAAAAGATGTGAAACAGCTGTTCCTCTCGACTTTTACCATTTGAAGGCCACGTTCAAGAAGATCTTTCTGACTTCTCTCAATTTCTTCCAATGTGCACGGATCATCTTGACTCTTCTCACTCACAGCTTGGCCTGCAGTTAACTGTTTCCTCAACTCATTCAGTTCCTTAAACGATAAAAACTGATGCTTACATTAAAAGTTTTAAAAGTCAGTGATTCTAAATAGAGTACTAGTAATTTACTCCTACCTTTTCTTGCATCTGAAGAATATTCTTGGAAAAGGAAGCATCCTTTTTGTCTTTTGGAAACCGATAGTTCAATATTATTTTCACCATCTGTAGAAAAATCTAAAATATGAATAAAAAATATATATTAGTATGACAACATTCTTTAAAGGATATCTACAAGAAATCTAGTACATTATAAGACAGATGATTAAAGCTCACCAGATATTTTTCATCTTGAAGCTGAGAGCAGTGATGTTGTATGTCCTGCAGGGCCAAACAGTAAAGGCTGATCCTACTTCCAAAACTGTGTAAACAAATGGGTGAGTGTTGTTACTTGGATCTGTGCAATGTGCCATGATTATAATCATGGCACTGTGCAATGTGGTTATAATGTGTGTGTACAGTTATTTTTTACCCTGTTTGTGTCAGTGTGTGAGGATAGTGGGAAACCCTGTTAAATCTCTGGTTCTGTAAGCTCTTGGGGAACAGCGAAGAGAAAATGAACTGACTGCTGCCATCGTTGTCCTGCTCCTGGCTCACAGACTCTCCATCCATGAAGGAGGACGACTCTTCATTAGGCATCACTGGCAACTTTGAGTGCTCATGTAGAGACGGATTGGATGCTCCATCTGCTAAAGGCTGACAGGAACAGTGAAACATAAAGCGGAATCAGTAGCCAAGTAGGCCATGTTTCCTTCTTGTCATTGTAAAACACAACTTATACATATTCTTTATATCAACTGTATTTCTAACTAGCATTGTGCATATTGTAGTTAATGAAATATGCAGTTAATGGAAGAATGCAACTACTACTTATTAGTGTATGTCAATCGAAGCCAAACTTCCATCAGTTAATTTGCATCAAGTTAATATTCAATCCACTTTGATCACATGCACTTAACAATACTGTGGGTATATTTGGCAAAATATTTTTCAACTGCAATGTTAGTTAATCATGTGGATTCGTCTGCATACGTAAATTCATTCACATTCTACTGATATTTGTGGTAAACAGACAAAATTAACAGCTTTAGCCCCCCAAAAAAGGAAAGACTTTAGCATATCTGGAATAAAACACTGTTTAGTTGTGTACGTGTAATTCTGCCACATGTTCTAGAGATGGTGGACTTACTCTGTATTTTTGGTTGATGGGATAAACCACTTTTGCTCTGGATGCAAAAGCAGCCACATCGCTGTTCACGGGTGGCTGCTTCTTCTCCTGCTCAATAAGTAAACAGAGTAAACTATTAAAGAGAAGTCTTAACCATCCAAAACTTTGTGACACTGAATAAAAATCCAAGTTTATGTATGCACAGTTTTGGTCAGAAGTTTACAAGCAGTCATCATGGGCATGAATGTTGTGGTAATTCTGGACTTGATTTACCTCATTCATGTACCTGTGCAAAACAACACTAACTTTCAGTAATTGAGTCTTAGAGTAATACTTTGTCATGAGTGGTTCCACTTGGAGCCTCCTCCTTGCATTTGCTGACATAGTCCCTTTGGTTGTTGTCTAATTCAGCATCATCAGGTTCAAGCAGTCTACTTGCATTGTAACCCTGATGGGACAAAAGAGAAAACAAACATCTCAAATATGGAATGTAAAGTGTAAGGAATCAATACAGTGGATTCAGCGGATGTGGAAGAGACCATTTATGCTTACTTGTCTCGTCAACAGCAAAGGCTTCAGACAGAAGACATACAAAAGAGCAGCAGCTAATATTCCCGACAGCCCTCCGCACACTGTAGTTACTGTCAGCAGCCCTGTGTACAGATGCAGCGACTCGGGGAAACTGACCAAAACGTCGGTGGCGCATTCCGCCATCATTTCCCTCTCTTCCATCTTTGCTTTGCTTCAAACTGTAGAAATAATACGGAGCATTTTGTAGGACTCATCGAGTAAACAATAACATCTGACGCTAGCTAAAAAAAAACACAAAAAACCCCCAATCTCTACACCAAACTTATCTGCTCGAGAATGATTTCAAAGGTTTTCGTGTTTCGTTAAAAAATACGGTTCTAAACTTGAGCAAGCTACGATTTCCAGCAACTTATTTGAGCCAAAACCTTGTCCTAAAACGACTAACTAAAAAAAAAGAGGGCTGGAAGGAGATTTTCAGAGTGAGTCAAGACCGTGCTGCTAGATCGGAAATGAAATACGTTTGCTTTCAATGTTAAAGCACGATGAATTATCTCTGCATAAAAATAAGGGAGTCAATGTCTATAAGAACACTGACGCAAGTAAGAGAAAAAAAGATTTCCAGCAAACTTAGAGTTTCTTAACATATGTGGTTTTTTTCTAGCGCTATAAAAGTATTTGATTTTAGGCTGGTATTTTATTTTATTTTGAAACCACAGACCGGAAACTATCCAGTGCACTTTGTTCCTCTTGACTTTCTTGGAGTTAAACAGTTCTTCCCAAGTTTTGGAGATGTTTTCCGAAGTTTTTCCGCAGTAGCGGTTATTATGAAGCTTGACTTTGTTTAGGTCTATAAATCGTTGAAACGGCGTAAGCCGTTTCTCCGTATATGTTAAAGTTCAAGGACGACGGTCTTGAGCACCGGTGACGCTGTTACATTAGGTGTTTCTCAAGAAAAGCTAGAGAAATGTTTTCGTCGCCACAGCACAGTGAAGTGCAGACACAATGCAGACAGTTAGCTAGCGGCTTCCCTCGGTGGTAGCACACCAAGTCACGAATGCTTCGGGTACACTTTACCGTGGAGAGGGTCGCGATATGTATATATTTCTTAAATATCGAAGTATCGTGTTTTTCTCCAGCCTTTTTATATTCACGTTGCGGTCCCGATGTAACAAGGCGCACCGGTGTTTTGGAGGACACAACTGGAAACCAGTCTTGTTATAACGGCACTGCCCTGAGTACATCATGGCACACAACATCTTCTTTCCCTGTGAAACATAGGGTGAGTTGCTCAGTGGTAAAAAAAAAAAAAAGAAAAGCCAATGGTATTTGTTTAGCTGTCAGCTAGAAATTTAATTTAGCAACCAATAGATTGATTCACATCATCTAAATAAATTAACCGTTCTTTCGTAACAAACCCTTGTTTTTGTTTGTTTGTTGTTTTGTTTTTACAGTTGCAGTCATAAGTTTACATCCACTCATCACGAGCTTGACTTTCATGGTAATTTGGGGGCTTTTAATGATTTCTATGAACTGGTGGAATGATGGTACCGCTCCATCTTCATTGGCTCTAAAAAAAACAAGAACTGTGTGCACAAGTTTGAATTTATGTTGGATTTTCTCTAATCCTTCTCCTTGGTGATCATGACTGACTACAACTGTTAGTTTCTTTTTAACACCATAAAAAGGATTTGTTTGATACCACTCATGGATTGATCAGTGCTCAGAACAATGGGAAAGTCCAAGGAACTCAGTGAAGATCTGAAAAGGAGAATTCTACCAAATCATTAAATATGTATGCAAGTATTCCACCCTTTAAAAAGAGCGGTGAAAATAAATAATTCAAAATTACCATGACAATCACTATCATGATGAGTGCATGTCAACCTCTGACCATAACTGCTGGCCATAACATAATTACATATTTAATATGTAATTACCTCTTAATGCTCTTATCCCATCAGATCCTTGCCAGTATGGATTCAATACAACATGACCCAGGCGGACAATCAGCAGACCCATTACTTAGAAAGGATGGTTTGTGCTTTTTCTTAGCCAATAACACAGAAAATAACTTTTAAAATAATGAGATAATATGCTGATTCAACTGTACATTACTCCATGATGTGAAAAATAATGTTTGGTTGTGCTTTTTTTGCCCACTTGTGTTGTTCATTTGAGTGTAAATTTCCATAATGAACGCTGTAATAGTTTTGCTTGGGGAATGTGTGATATACAGGCTCTCTTTCAGCTTTTGTAGCTGCTTTTTTCAAGCTGTTCAAGCACCATGTGTACACATTTACCTGACAGGTACAGTGGAAATTGGTGAGGCTAAAGCCTTTTTCGGGAGGGGCCCTCTCTCATCTTCAGCTCCTGCTGGTCCGTGGGGACACTCTTTTTACTCTTCATTTCCCTATGTATCAAATGGCTTGCACCTCAGGAACAGCAGAAGCACCCTCACCCGATATAACCTGGGCCACTCGCTGCCTCAGGTATGTTTCTACATGATTATTACTAAACTATTCCAAAAAAATTATTGTGTTGGAAGAAACTAAATATATATTGTTTTGGTTTTTTTTTTCTTTTTTATAATCCTGCAGGTTCAGAGTGTGGTGCCTCCAGCTGCATTTGGAGTAAAATTTCACAAGTGTGCACAGGTACATCAACAATATTGAAAGAATTTAAAAAATAAATGCACATTTAATGAACCAATTAACCTGATATAAATTTATTTTTCAATCATGTGACCAAGGTGAAGCTTGACACTGATCCCCCTCAGTTGACGTTCTTTCTGCTGGTTCGCAACGTGGGCCCTGTGGGTGGCACCAACCTATCTCAGGTGGCTATCCGGGACTCGATTTCAGGATTAGTACCTCTAAAATCTGAAGGCAGGGTTGTGGAAAGAGGCTACCAGACATTTGCCATTGAGTCGTTGTTGGGTATGTTTGGGAATGAGGATGTTTAAGAAGATTATTTTTAGCCAGACTATGTCTGCATGCTGCTTCGGCAGTTGATATGTTTATTTTGCTCACTTAGCTGGATCTCAAGTTGTTCTCAATTATACTGCTCACGTAAGGAGTCAAAAGAGCGAAGTCCTTGACCTTCCAGCTTTTCTCACCTTCTCTAATGCCTCACAGGTACTTTTTTCAATCTTCCTAATTGGCAACATTGTCAAACCAAAGCTTTCTAGATCCTAATTTGCAGGATAATAAGGTCATTTCCAGTCCTGTTAGCCTGGTTGTTTATTTCTTTCTTGGTTCCACAGAATGATGTCAGCATGTTTGGCCCATTAAGGGCTAATCTAACGCTGAGGATGAATTCCACAGACAGGGTAAGTTTGGGGCAGCACCTTAATTTGTAACAAAATCTACATGACAGCATAAGTTGTTTATTGTTGTCATTTCTTCAGTGTTATATTTAGCGTGTTCATAAAAGGGACTTAATTGTAAGTGTAACATATAGGTCTCTCTTTTAGATCTATCCTAACCACGGTGTTCATTTTGCTGGATTTGTTGCTGGGTTCTTTGTCACCATGGTGCTGCTGCTGCTGGGGTTTCTGGCCATAAACGTGATAGGACTCAGAACTAGACTGAATCTTCTTCAAAAAAGGGTATCACAAGTTCATCTCTTAAACCTAAGGATAAAGTGTAATATTGACCATGAACAATTTAAATGCAGTTGCTATAACAATGCTTAATGCTTATTGCAATATATTTCATTTGCATAGTAATGTCTGTATATGTTCTTTTGTTTTGTTCTTCATCTTCATTCTGCCGTATGGTGTTTCTTTTGCTTCAGAGAAACAGAAGTGATTCAGACCCTGAGTTTGCAGACTCCAACTTGAGTGAGACAGTCAAGGATGAGGCAACATTTGAAGACAAGATTGTGGACACCATGGTTCTGGAGGATCCACAGAACATGTACAGGGCTTTGGAAAAGTGAGTAGATCAGCCCAGCATGACTTAATTTCCATTAATGGAACAATACAAAAAAACTATTAGTACAAAAATGAATCGTTAATTGTGTTACTGTAAAGTTGTTCCTTTTTCTACATTATGTCAAAATCAATACCTGCACCTTATTCTGTTTATTGTGTGTTTTATCTCTTTAGTCTTGAAATGTCTTCACTGCTACATGCCACCAATAACCTGGAAGCCATCCGGATTCAGATTTACAAGGACGTGATGTCCTCCTTGCTTGCCAGACTTCAATTTCAGGGCCAGGCCAGTGCTCAAGCCCAGGAGAGGCTGCTTAGTGTGCTTCACGGGCAGCTGCTAGGCATGGAGGGACGGCTCAAGGAGGAGCGAGGGGCTCGCATGGTTGCCTTGGCTGGTCAGTGTAACCTGGAGACTCGGGAAGAAATGGAAGCAGAGCACTGCAGAGAGGCTGCTGAGAAGGCCCAGGCTGAGCTTCTGTGTCAACATGCAGATCAACAGGTAGCAACAATCTGTTTTTGCATTGTTAACTCTGCCAAGGATGTTAGCATTTTGGCATTACACAAAAACTACTAGGTCAGTGTTTATGATATTGGACAAAGGAAGAAATCTGTTCTGAATCAAGGTGTGTATACTAGTTTTGTTTTTAACAGTTCAGTCACACTGGAAGCTGGTAGTGTAGTAGGGTGTAGGGCATCTGCCGTAAAACTGCCAACTTAAACATGTAGAGCTATCTGCTGTGATGGGGGACCCCAGCCATCAAGGGCTGACTGAAATGTAATCGTTAAACCACTATGGCAGAGGCACTGCAAGTACAACAGCTGTTTTGGAATATGAAGGTTTCTATGAATAAAATAAATATAAACATGTGTTAGAAGAAAGATTTCATTTTCACAACTTTAAGATTAATTTTGAAATCTTGAAATCTCAGGAACTTCTTCAGTGTAGTGTCCTCCTGGAGAAGCTGCACAAGTTGAGCCAGAGTCAGCTTCAACGCATCTTATTGGTTCGTCATGAAGAGGCCTCAGCGAAGCTCCAGAGGCAGATCATTGAGTGGCGACGGGTGGAGCTGCACAAGATTTTCTCAGAGGAACTGGAGGAGGCCACCAGGATGGGAGAGTTGGAGAAGAGCACAGCCAAGAATCTTCAGCACGAATACTTTACTTGTCAGGTGAACAGTCAGAGCCTGTTGAGTTGGGTTATCATTTAATTGTCATGCCTGTTTAAAGAAAAATGTTGTGATATGCATACATCTACACTTGTGGTGAAACATTAACATGAAACACAAAGAACGTAAATAGTGATGACTTCATAAAGTTGTTGTTTTGTTTTTGTTTGTTTTTATCCAGGATCAGCTAGAGGAGGTGCTGGATGTAGTCCTTGCCAATCTGCGCTATGTGCTAGCTGAACGCAGCGCACAGAGGAAGTTTCTGGTGCACAGCCTCCACAGCCTTAACAGCCTGATTTCTGACACTTTCTCCAGCACCTCCAGGAACTTGGACAGCTGGTTCACTTACATCAGGGGGTTGGTGCCAATTAAAAAAAAACACAAATGTTCCTGCGTCTTAATAAAAAAATAACTGAAACATGTCTGTTAATCATGTGATATATACAAAACAAAATATGCAGTATCGAAAAGTTCAGGGACATAAATGCTCTAGTGTTTTTAAAAATCTTGTTGATATCTACAAATACAAGTACACTATGCTAGAGTTGTTTCACTGTGGTACTCTGCTCCCTTCTCCACCAGAGGGAGCAAACTGCCTGCAGTGCAGGTCGACCACCTGCAGGAGAAGGCTCAGAAAGAGCTGGTGATGCTGAGACAGAGACTGGATGAGGCACTGAAGCAGGAGAGGAGAGCCATGCATTGTGGACTGATTAAGAAGAGGAGGGAGCTCATATCTGACATGGTGAGCAAAAGTGGATATACACAGGTCTCTGCACTTATTCATTGTAACTGATGTCAAAAATATGTTTTGCAAGGTATTTCCGTTTGAAAAATGAAATCCTTTTTTTTGCCTTGTCCAGGTGACGGTCCACAAACAGAGACAGAAGGACCTGTCGAACATGTGCAAGGGTCTGGAGGGAGGGATAGAGGTAGGACAGCATCTGCACTGTTGGCAGAATTTACTGACAGCTCACAGCTTGGAGCTAGCAGAGCTTATCAACAACCTGGATGAGGAAGCTGCTGCAGACATCCGCAAGGTGCCACACTCAGACTTCACATCACTTTGTGTGTCACTTTTCTCCTGTGAGACATGAAGTTGCATAAATATGAAGTGAGGTTGGTCTCATACCTGTTCTTTAGGTCACCATGCGTGTGATCCAGGGTGCCATAGCAGACATCAAAGCCATCCAGCCTTCTGCAGCTCAGGCTGTATTAGCCCTCTTGCCTCCAGGAGAGCAAGACTTTCCACTGCAGATGGAACCAGGGCAAGGATCAGGACAGGGAGCGAGTGCTCTCCTGGTGGGACAGGAAAGACTGCACCAGGAAGGCAAGGCAGCCTTGCGTATCCTCAGCTCCACCAGGGAGGCTCTGAAGGAAGACATGGAGAAAGAGCTACAGGAGCAGAAGGCACTTAGGACACGCTGCAAAGATTTCTTCAGGTCAGTGAGGCAATTTTACTGATTTCAGAAACTAAAGATTGTGTATGCGGTCCCAGTAGAAGATCAAAGAAAGAAACAACAAACTGGTTCCACAGGTTTAGGATGATAGCAGGTGGGAATTCTTAAAGCAGCTGCAATGGTAGCAGATGCCACACACTGTTTACTTCCAAGGAACTTTTTATCTTTTATAAATAATATATACATTGGATAATGCTACCCAGTAAGTTTAGAAGAGTCAAGCTGGTTCACCTGTCACATTTCTCTTTTCCTTTCTATCATAGGTGTTTGTGTTTGTCCCAGCTAACTCTGTCTGAAGATGACAGGCTAAAGATGAAACTGGAGTTTCAGAAATGTCTTTCTGTGATAGATCGCTGTCTGGTGATGCCACACGCTGTCGCCAGAACTAAACTTCTGTGTGCTCTGGCAGCTTGGAGGAAGGAGAGCGAGAAACAGATGGTGCATATATAATCACATGTTACTCAGTTCATTTTAAATGCTCTTAAAATGTTGCTGTATAGAATTGCATATTGTACTGATTGTCATTCATTTCATAGTTTGAAAAAAAGTTCGTGCTACCCTGAATTGGAAAGTGGATGGATTGGGTGGGGGGCTTTTTCCTGCCTTATTCACTAAACTTAAAATTAAATCAACAATGCCGTCATAGATTTCTCCCCCACTTCTTTTAAAAGGCATTAGCTAAAGCAGTATGGCTAAACAATTTAGCTTCTTTGCACTGCAGTTTTGCAATGCTCTGAATTAAATTTCCCTGGGAAACGCTGATCAAAGCATGCATCGTTTTATGGAGGCATGTAATGTGGTGGTAAAGCAAGTACTCATCTCATTTTCATCACCAGGCCTTTATGCATTTTGGTATTGATAAGTTCTTTTGAGTCAGTTCGTGGCATTTTTCCCATGGGAAATTTTTTTCCCATGTTTATTCAGTATGCATTAATATCTTCTTGTTTTTGAATCTCTTTATAATATTCTTAAGGTAACTCAAAGTAAGAAACTGACCAGTGGAAAACCACACTGCTGTAATCCTCAATTGTGTGGCTGCTGGATGAGTGTACATTGTTATTGAGAAATTATAAAGGGGATCCACAGAGTGACTTCATTTCTGATCACGTCATGACATTTAGCTTGGAGTTCTTTCCCAACCACCTTCCGGATACTGTGGCTTTTTGCAGATGAATCCACAATCCAAGGGGAAAACCAGTGAGGCCAGACAGAAAGCAGACACATCCGACCTGCAACTTTTCCAGAAAAAGCTTAAGGATAGGATTCAACTATATGAGAGGGAGAAGGAGATGGAGAGCAGTATAATGAGCAAGGTATAGCTGTTTCCTAAAACCTTGATAATTTATTTTTAAGTTTATTTATTATCATCCTGTATTTTTACAGCATGTTAAAGTGATCCAGGAAATTCACAAAGCAAAGAAAACCAGAAGTCTTGAAGACAGTTTGAGTTTAGCATCACAATTGTGCATCAGTAGGTTTTGAGTTTATACCAGATGACTGAAAATCATCCATTCTCAATGTGGCAGGTGTTGGAGGAGATGAAGCATGAGAGAGAAGATGATCTGCACTCTCAGGCAGACAGCCTGGCTGTGCAAATGGCTATCGTCCATTACCAGAAGGCTGAGAGGCGAGCCAAAGTTTTGGAGACCTGCAGAGCAATGCTGACTCTCCATAGCCTGCTTGTTCAACAGCTCAAAGAAAGGAAGCATTTGGAGCGACAAGACATGGCTCAGAGTATACAAAGCCACTGCTTGGTAGGTAGTATCTGACTTGTGTGCGGTAGCTGCTTCTCTCCTGAAGCCTATAAATTTTCATTCTGTGAAATTTTTCATTTTTATCTTTAATTATTGGGTTTCTTCTGAGACTTGGTTATTTGAAGGTCACTTTGACTTTTGCCACAGGGCCTAGAGGAAGCAGAGCAACAGCTTCAGGAGGAAAGAACAACGTTGGACAGCCTGCAAATGTCTCAGCCCACTATAAAGTCAAGTAAAACACATCAGGACGACTCTGGTGTGGGAGATGAGAACTGTGAGCAAGAAACCGTGTTTCAGTTGCAGACAGATTGCAGGATGGGGGCCATCCTTCAGGATGCACTTTATAAGCATGAGCAGGTTACTTCACTGATGGCTGAGAGGTAAGCTATTATTCAGCATTATTTAGAGAGCAAAGAGGACTTTGGGGGTATTGATATAAGCCATTCTGATGTTTCCAGGTTTCACTTAATGACTGCCAAGAGTCAAAGCATGGAAGATTTAAAAGAACAAATGGAGCTCAAGAGACTGTATGCAAACTGTGACCAGGTCTCAGCTTTTTTTTTTCCATGATAAGTGTTTGGATAATATGTGTAATAAAAGCAATCAAAACTTTGTACCAGTTAGTTCAGACAAAATGTGGGCTAACGAATACTCTGCACTGCTCTTCGTTACAGGATCTGGACTTTGCATCTCAGCTGGTCAAGCGGTGTCATGTGTCTACCGAGGTTCTCCTGGAGGCCCTACGTCTCCTTCTCCCAACCCTGCCTGAAAGTGAACTCCTTTCAATCAGTGATGCCCTGTGCCCCAAGCAGCACCCTCCCTCAGGGTCTGCAGAACAGGAACACCCAGGGTAAGAACCAGGTTCTGAGTTTCTATCCTTTTATAAGAATCTGGAGGTTCATACGTCATCTGTCAACAGTGTTCAGTGCGTTTGACTTATGAGAGTGAATCTTATTATGATGTAACAGTAAATAGAGTTCTGTCAAAGAGATAATCAACTTTTTTTTCCTGAAGGAATATCTGAACAGAATAACATAACCACTACAGTTTGCTAGGGAAAAGGGAAGTAATGTAAATGAGCCGGTAGAAATGGTTGACAACAAAATTGCAATCTTTAATGAGTGAAATTAATACATATGCTAAGAACAAACGGAGCAGAAAACACAATGAAAGAACTTTTGTGTTTTCATTGATTTTGGAAATGGTGTCTTTCCAGCAACCTTATAGATTTATTCAGTACTTCATACGATTTTTCATGAAGTCATACTTCACTGACTTGTTGCAGTTTTGTGCCTGGGCATGGTTAGTGATCACACTATGGGTATACTGCATCAGGGCATGCTACACTTAACCATTATCAGGCACTGTACACAGCAATCACTGCACACAGCTGGACTTTGGAGGTCAAACGTGCTCAGGCTTTGTAGGATACCTATAATGAGTACATCCTAAGAGCCTGGGGGCTCTCTTAAGCAGGTGAGTAAATTACAGATTCAGTCTGATTCACACATGAGGCTGGGACACTGGTTCAGTCCAGCACAAGGGCCAATGGAGTAGATGACTCACAAGAAAGCAACAGAATATCAAGTGCAGCCACTAATCTTGATTGAGCAATAAAACTTATAAATTTTTTTATCAGGGCAATAACATTAGACGGTGAAGTTCTTTGAGGAAATTTAAATTGGACATATTGGAGCATAATGCTGTTAGTTTGACTCTTGGCTTAATCTATTATAGCTGTGCAGTATTTAATGTGTGTCATGCTCTTTTACTGAAACTCTAAAGATTGTTTGTTTCCTGTTTAGCTGAGTGATTTAATGAAGTTAGATGAAATTACTTCTCATCATTTTTAAGTTGGGTCTCCAGCATACATAACCTGTATGCAACAACAAGTTGGTCTAGTCTTGCTAAGGAAATGATAATGTTTTGTTTTTCTTTTTTTCTTTCTGCTAGTACACAGCCAGTCTCAACAGTTCAAGTTCTGTTTTTTTAAGAAAATATATTTGAAGTCTCTTATTTGAGAAGAAACAAAACTCTGTGTTTCCCCAGCAGCCAGTTGAAACACAACCATCTCTGCGTATTGTCTTAAATGTAAATAACAAAAGCTGTTTTCCCTGAGCCAAGATAAAGAGATAAATGATTTTACTCATCATTTAATTTCCCCTCTTGTCCTGGTGCACTGGAACAGTTTTGTGTGCACCCCGCTGAGTCTGGATTGTTTAACTGATGAATGATGCCTCATGCTTTGGATCTGAGCTTCTGGCCAAAGGACAAGGGAGTGAAAAGTTTGGAACAATATGCAAGACATGTGTTTTTCTTTTCATTAGTTCTTTTGTTTCTGCTTTTTGTTTGGAGAATGGAGTTCACCAATTCTTAACAGCTGTTTTAGTTTTATTGAAAAGAGAATTCATGTATATAGTATTGTTTAATTTTAACAGTGACTATTATATTCATTTTTAGCTCCCTATTTTATTCGCTGGACTGTGCTACAGTAGCTTTGCGTGATTTACAGTTCAAAATAATTCTTGCTGGGCCTTTAGTGCTGCCCCTCTGTCTGAAAGAAGCCCTTTCAGCTCTTCTCCCTTTAAGACCATCATCCAAGAAGCCAGCGCTCTTTCCATTGGCTGCCCCTCATAAACACGGCAGATAGGCGGGACTTGTGTGCTCCAAGCCAAAACTGTGTTCTCGAGAGCCATATTAGAAATATATGCTCGCACTAACATCATTCAGAGTACCAAAAATCATCTGAAATCTGATCTTTTGACTCATATTTAAATATTTTTTATACACACATATAGTCTGTGAACTCCTGTGTTGAAGAGTTGGTAGTTATGTCTGCTGTTCTGAGGACAAATGTCTCCCTTGATTTGTCAGTGTCCTTTGCTAATTTGGACACTAATATAAAGCAATCAGGTTGCTCCAAAGTGGTCAGGCTTTAAATTTCCCTCTATCCAATACCACAGTTTGCTTTAATACACTGCAAAAAAGCAAATGTTGACAAAACTCAAAATACTGAGGCAGCTTGGTTCAATGGCTGTTTTGAGTTTTCTTGGCTTTTCACTGTTCATGTTGATTTTAGACTTTCATGTTGAAACAGCAGTTTTGGCAACTTGAAAATCACCTTATTCATCATAATATACCTACAGTGTAGGAGAATTATTTGAGGACTTTTCATAGCATGCTGTATTAAATCCATAGGTAGGTGTTCAGAGGTTCTGTCCATGCCATCTGCTCGCTGCATAGCTAATGTACCACATATAGTCCCCCCATTACAAAACCCCGTTGATGACTCATTTGCATTTTGACAGATATTGTCTATGAAGTGTCACAAGTACAGAGAAACCAGAAGACTTGCACTGTTTACTGTCAAAATAAAGACTGCCTACCTAAGACCGACTCTGTGTTTTGAAGGCAATCTTAAAAATATAGTAATTCTCCTAAAGGTTTTTTCAGTTAGACTTATCCGGATTTATTAATTAAACTTCCCAGCTTAACATGTTGTACCCTACGACGAAGGAGATAAAATATGTAATCATTTTTCTCTAAATGTGAGATTACAAAACTGATGAATTGTTGCAGTGTGTGAACAGTTAGGAATTGTTTTATTAAACCAGTTGTCTGCAGACTTTGTAAAGCAGCTGACAGTTTTGTATTCTGTTGGTGACTTTTTGTTTAGGTGTGCTGAGGAGCTGAACAGAGTTCTTCCTGTGAAACTGAGAGAAGATGTGGTGCATAAAAATATGCTGAATATTCCAAGTTGTGCTGTGGATAAAGAGGGGTGAGTTAAACACATTTCTTTGTTCTTCTACCAACCACCATATAAAGACTTCATGTTACACCACAGCCAAGGCTAATTTGTAGTTTAGTGGTCACCAGATATTACTGTCAGATCCTTAAATTGAAGTGAAATGTGCCTGTCGGATTGCATGGTTTGGCTGCGGTGACCACACGCATGAGGTAAGCGCGTTAACACTCTAGTCCTGCTAACAAAAGCTCCTTTGTCCTCCAAATCTCACAGACTCCAGGAAAAGAGGCAAAGTCTGATGGAAAAACTGCTCCCCAGGTCCGGTCTTGTGCTTCAAGGGGATACTGCACCGCTGCTGACTAAGGAGAAGGGAAAGAAGAACAGCTGTAGCAAAGCACAGCAGCCACTTTATAAATCTGGGCTGCCTGTTAAAGAGCAGCAGAGCGACAGTGGAAGAGAAGAAGTTGTGGACACGGTAAAGGAAGCAGAGGAACACACGCCTTCAGCCTCTGCTTGCTGTGCGCCGGGGAGCCCAGCAACCGGGGAAAAGCTGTTTGTTTTCCGGGATCCACCTGAATCATGTAACAGTGTAGATGTCCCAAATAGAAAAAGGAAGAGGAATTTCCTCAATCTGAAGAAAGGTTCAGTGGCCCCAACAAACCTACCTTGAAATTTGTCTTGCCTTTTGTATTATTTTTTTTAATGAGGATGGTATTTTATATATGATCATGCTCCAAAAAAATCTGGTACTTCAAAGTGTTTATATGATCTGACTTTGTTTTATTTTTTAATAAAATCAGCTGGCTTAAGTTGTTTCCAGTCATTTCTCCCTGTCTTCTCAATAATTCAGATTGCTAATAAACTGGTCAGAAATGACTGGTTGAGTAATAAATTGTTATGTTGTCCTAAACATCTTCCCAAAAGGCAAAACTTCACTAATCAATAATAGGAGAAAGGAACATGCCAAAGTGAAACCTTGTAGCTGTGTGTTAATGAGAAAGCTGCTACTTTCAAACATCTGTGTTAAAAGCCCTACATTGGACAAACGGATACAAAGTTTCCAAACACGCTCACACCTGTGATTTCTACTAATGAACTTCGTGACTGCAGGTCAGATGATTTAGCGTACAAAGTGGCTGACTTTAGTCTTTGATTAATAGCTCTCATTAATATCTTGCTTTTACGTAATGACGGGCAGTAGGACAGAAAACACCGCAAAATCCGTCCGCCCATTGTCAGCAGGGAGAAATCAGTCACCGCTGCTATTTAGACATGGCTGATTTGCTCTCCACAACGCAGAAGATCCCAAATGTCTTTTTGGGGTTTTTTTGTGTGAGCTGTGCTGCTCCTCCACGTCATCCTACGTGTTTGTTTTTTTTCTTCCACTCCATCCTTAAAACAGCAGCCGGCCCTCCTCTGTACTACTTGACAGGCTCTACCAGTCCAGTCCTGCAGAGCGTTATCCGACATGAAGCTGGGACTCGCAGCTCTCCTGTGCCTCTCTAGCCTCGTGTGGCTGTCGGAGTGCACACCTCCGACCTGCTACTCCAGAGCTCTCGACCTGAGCAAAGAAATCATGACGCTGCTGGATAAAATACACACTTCTCATCGCACGGTAAGAGAGTCTACGTTTGTGGCGCTTTTGGCATCTTGATGCCACCAGTTATTTAACTCAACGCTCATGTTTGCTGGGTTGCAGAAAACATGTGCTGAGATTCTGCCTGTCATCTTCCTGGACGTGCATGTAAGTTGTTAATTTTTTAAATGTTCAATTTTCTCTTACTGTATAATTTCCCAGTAAATGAAGCGCTAAATGTATCAATTTAATACAAAATCAACTGACTAATTTAGCTGTTAAACTGGCAGACGACAAATATTTCCTGTGGTAAATTTGTACAGTTTGGATATGTGCATTGAGAATGCCCGAGGCACAAAATCTTAAGCTTTGATTTGACCTGATGTGCAAATGTTTGCAGTTTGACAGCTGCGCCGTGCAAAAGGAAAAAAAAGAAAAAAAGTATTTCTCTTGGAGATTGAATGTAAATACTTGTTTCATGACTCCAGAACTCCTGCATCACTACCAAGCTCCGTGACTTTCTTTACGTGGTGTTGAACCATCCCAACCAGTACTGCAGAGAGAAACCCAGAATGGTTCTGCTGAAGCGCAAAATCCAGACCCTTTACAGCATCATCACCAGAATCTGTTATCGGGTAAGCACTCCGCAGTGTGTGTGGGTTTCTTTTTGAGCTTTTATGTTTTCAAGTAGAGCAGCTACACCACATGTTTCTTGTTTCTTGTTTCTTGGCAGGACTTGGTGTTTTTCACAGACGACTGCCAGGCTATTGATACTGGAAACACCAGTCCTTACTATGCAGAGGACAGGCTTCAGCTGCTCCAAGAGGACAGATGATCAACAAAAACACAGATATCCGGGCATACGCTGCTGTTACATTCATATAAATACCACAGTAACAACACGTAGAATGGTAGAACATGCACCATAAACACCACATACTAAAGTGTATCAGATGCAGCATAAACGCATCATAAGGCTTTGGTAGTGCACGCAGTGCTGCTTCACACTGTACCCAGTTGGGTACACACTCATGTTATTGGACATGCATGGCTACATTCCAGCAAGGAGTGCAGAACTTTCCACAGGAAATTTGCTGAATGCCAACCATGCCGATGAAAACCTTGAAATAACAAACCAAGGGAGCCAGCCTTAACCGCTGCTTACTTACCAGGGCTGATCAAAGCTCCGCGTGTCATTAAGAGAAATATATCGTTGTTGTCGCAACCTGTAGCCTGACAAACATGTATTTGAGGGAGCACTGTAACGCATTTTGTAAACATCTGAAGACCTGAACATGGTGGGGAAAGTGTTATGCAAGAAATAGATATCTAAGCCATGCTTGTACAGTATGTTCCTTCTGATAGGGTTTGAAAGAGTTGTGTCAGTTCTGCTGCTTGTACTCATGCTGAATGAATATCATGGATCAACGGCATTAAGCAGACTGAATGTAAAATAACAGATGTATCACTGTCAGAGAGAGAAACTCACTGCCTTTTATGAGTACTTACCCATGATTACCCACATATGCAATAAACCCTCTCTTTATGTGTCAGAGTTCATGCCCTTGTTGATTTGTTCTTCAGAGTTATTAAAAAAAATGTCTGCCAGTTGTTTTTGGAAAGAAGGGATTATAAAAACAAAAAGAAAAGAACTGGAGGGTGAGTCAGCAGAGGAGCCCTCCCTGAAAACATTATTCATACTCTTAACTTATTTTTCATTCAGCTCTTATTGATTAATTGAACTTAATTAGAAAGCTTTTTGTTTTTTATTTAAAGCTGTTCTGTATTGAGTTACCACTGTGTCATTTGTCTCTTCAGTAAGCGGTGAATGTGTTTTGAAATGTGACCCATTAACTGTGACTGAAAGAAATCCACAGACAAAATGACTTTTTATTTCATTTTGGCGTTTTGGCCACACAAGGTTACTTGGACAAATAATTATGCTGAAATCTTGGATTTTCAAGACTGTTCTTCCCAGATGTGAGTTGTGGCCTTTGCTGCCCTCTGTTGCTGAAACCACACAACCAACCTACGGAAAATCTCCTACTTTTGTTAATTTATACAGACAGAAAAGAATTCTGGGATTTGTTGACCTTTCAAAACTAAAATGTACAAGAAAAAGTTGTCCTCTTTTCACATACATTTTTCAAAGTGTGAAACTGTTTTCTCATCACAGGCTGAAATTTTGCTTTTTGTGTATACAGCACTTTTCTCAGCGCCCTATATTACTGCTTGGATGTCATTCAAACAATTATGAATAGATCTGCTTTATGAGTCATTTTGGATGAGGTCATGGCGTTTTGAATGCCGGCCTCTGTGGCGATGCAAGTCCTTGGTTTCCGTTCATATCAGTGTAAAAATAAAATGGAGTGCTTGAAATTACCTGTAAGGTACAGCATTACCTATTAGACATTCTCATTTAAATTTTTTGACAAAAGACAAGAGGCTTAATTATTTTTACATGACAAAGTTGCTCTTTTCTTTCACTGTCAAGTCACAGAAAGAATGGCCAAAACAGGAACATGCTTCATGAAAGAAACCAGTTGAAAATTCTAGTGAATTATTTATCTGTTGAATTTTTCATTTGACATCAATACATCAATACTATTCAAAAGTAGTCTGAAATTCTGATCTAGGTTTGCTTTTTTTGTTTATTTTTTAGAGTAATTGATGTATCTGATGTTGCAAGTGTAAAGTATTATGTTTTAAATTTGTCCCAAGTTTACCGATGCCTGATGCCACCCCAGCTTGTTGTTAGATTTGCATTTTTAAACATTACAGACTGAGATTACCTAATGTGTTCAGTGTATTGTTGAGCTCTAAAACAGCTGGTCATAAGTACATCTAGACTGTGTTGTCTCTCTCTTTTTTTTCACTTTTTATTCAGCAATTTAAATCAAGAAAAACAGAACAGGTGGGATACTGCATTGCACTGCATTCTTACAAAAAAGGTAGCTTGCTCCTCAGCTTACATAAAGGCGACCCATTTCTTCAACTTCTTTAGAAAGGTGTCTCCTTTAGAGTTTGGCAAGAAAGTCAACCTCTCCATTATAAAGATTCCCCTAACAGTGTCAATCTATTCATTAAGACTTGGAGGGACTTTGGTTTTAATATTCAGATACTGGATTTATCCTTGATAGGTAGTTCTCATTTGTTTCATAGTCAAGTCTCAGCTTTAGAAGGATTTTGACAGTGCTCTGATCTGTCACAAGGTGGTGCTGATTGACCTATAATTCTACATCTTATATCATTCTACATGTTGTACATCTGCAACAGAAATGCATTTTAAACCTAACCTTTGAATGAAAGTAATACTAGAAAAAACACTTTTAAAGGGTCTTACACTGTTTATCTTTCAATTGCAGTATTTTTTAAGCAATCATCACCCTCTGATTCATTTTGTTCAGAAGCCATCACTTGACCTATTCGTCTTAGGTAATTATAAGCCATTTTCCATCCATGCTTTTATTTAAAAAATTCTTGAAAGAGTAGTTGTAAAACAGCTAACTGAACATATGCGGTGGAATTGTTTATTTGAAGAGTTTCAATCTGGTTTCAGAGCTTTAGTGAAGGTTACAAGTGATCTTCTTTCAGCCTCTGACAGTGGACTCATCTCTGTGCTTGTCCTGGTAGATTTCAGTGCAGCGTTCAATACTGTTGACAATAACATTTTATTACTGCGATTAGAACATGCTGTAGATATTAAAGGTACTGTGCTGCAGTGGTCTGAATCATATCTATTTAGTAGACTCCAGTTTGCTCATGTAAATGGAGAGTCCTCTTCACACACTAAGATTAATTATGGAGTTCCACAGGGTTCTGTGCTAGGACCAGCTCTGTTTACATTATACATGCTTCCCTTAGGCAGTATCAGTATTAACTATGCAGATGACACCCAACTTTATCTGTCCATGAAGTCAGATAACACACACCAATTAGTTAACTACAGTAATGTCTTAAAGACCTGGATGACCTCAAATTTTCTGCTTTTAAATTAAGATAAAACTGAGGCCCTGAAAATCTTAGAAATGCAGTTTCTAGCCAAATGCTTTCTCTGGATGGCATTACTCTGGCCTCCAGTAACACTGTTAGGAATCTTAGAGTCCTTTTTGATGAGGACATGTCCTTAAATGCACATTTTGAACAAATATCTAGGACTGCTTTCTTCCATTTGCACAATATCTATAAAATTATTTTAGAGTGGCGCTGAAAAACTAGTTCAGTGCAGCATTTATTACTTCTAGGCTGGACTAAAAACTCCCTGAAAACCCTTCAGTTAATCTAAAATGCTGCAGCAAGAGTGCTGACAGGGACTAGAAATAGAGCATATTACTCCTGTATTGGCTTCCCTTCATTGGATCCCTGTTAAATCTAGAATTGAAATTAAAATCCTGCTCCTCAAATACAAGTTCTTTAATAATCAGTCTCATTGTATCTTAATGACATCAGAGTACCACATCACCCCATTAGAGTTCTTCACTCTCAGACTGCAAGTTTACTTGTGGTTCCTAGAGTATTTAAAAGTAGAATGAGAGACAGAGCCTTCAGATTTCAGGCCACTCTTCTTCTTCTGTTTCCGCTTTTAAGATTAGGCTTAAAACTTTCCTTTTTCATACGGTATATTGATAGGGTTAGATCAGGTGACCCTGAATGCACCCTTAGTTGCGCTGCAATAGGTGTAGGCTGCTGGGGGATTCCTATGTTGCATTGAATGTTTCTTCTTCAGTCACTCAGTCACTGGCTATGTGTTTATACACCTCTCTACATTTAATTATTTTTTATTATTAATCTCTGGTTCTCTTCCACAGTGTGTCTCTGTCCTGTCTTTATCCACCTAACCCAACTCGGGTTAAACTCTTTCACAAGTATAGTACAGCTGGACCATTTGAAGTTCAGTGCACACACACACACACACACACACACACACACACACACACACACACACACACACACACACACACACACACACACACACACAATAAGCAATTTAAGCAAAAAAATTGAAAAATGCTAGAATACTGTGCATCATAAATATTGGGTCTAACAAAAATACTCAGTCTCTTTTTAATAAATATATAAATGACTCGTACATTTATATATTTTATAGTTTGGATCATGTTGCATAAGCATTTTATTTGATCAATTTTCTGCATTCGGAATCATCAGGTCTGAACTCTTCACAGCTAATTAACCTACCCTGCAGAGGCGAAAAAGTTAGCAAACGGCTCTTTAAGAAATCCGCCTGCAGTGCGCTAATAAAGCTTAATTGCTGAGCTTGTTAATCATCATTCTAGGGCCTCAGAATCCACCTTCTTTTAAGGCAAACGAGAACAGATCGTTTAAACCACATGCGGCCAAGTTATTAAACAATTTTATGTCCTGTGACACTGCACCAAAAATGTTAAATGCTGCACAATAAAAGCACAACTTTGCCGAAGGGTGACAGAAATCATTGTCTGCCTTGCTAAAATAAATGTCCTTATAAATGACAGATCATAAACTTATTTACATGAAAGGATCTCTGATGCAGTTTGTGATTTCGTTTGGTTTACGGGGTTTTCAGGCAATTTTCCATCACATTTAGCACTTTTATTGCACTTTAAAAGAAAACGCTGCCTCATTAGAGCGCATAAGAAAATGTTTCCCCCCTTGTTTTCCACTAGATGACTGGCGCACTCAACGCGATAGTTACAATAATTACGCTGTTTGGCAAATGTGGCTGTGTAGTGTTCGGGCTGCATGGCGATTCAGAACTCTCATACTGCAGAGCCACGTTTCTCCCACGCCTGCAGTAAAGGCACCTTTTAAACGCACAGTTCAGATTATGAGCTCGCTCGCTCGGGTCAGCAGGGCACCGATGCAGTTCAACAAACGTGGTTGTAAACGAATCATTTAACAGTTCCACTCCTGATGGCCTCTTTGTTGTCCCCGTAGTTAACGACCTGAGCCACGTGCAAAGTCAGGTCACGGGCACAGGCCATTGAGGGCCTGTGTGACACGTAACGGAGCCAAAACGGTACTGCCCCCTCCGGTGGGCCTTACCGTCCACGTAAGAGCGAGAAGGACAGTAATCCAGTAATCTACACATTCTGCATGCAACATTTGTAATACCATATATATATTTGACAAACAGATGACAGTGGATAAACTAATTGATAAACTATTGGTTTAAAATAAATATATTTAAATGAAACTGATATAAAATCTGATCCTGTGAGCGCATATACGCCCACCGTCATATATGCCAAACTACTACTGAGAGATTATTGAACTTTTAAAAAAAATATTCTCTTTTGTAAATTCATTTTATTCCCATAAATTCCCGCAAATTTGGGTTGAATAGTCATCTTTTTTTACGAGCTTTCTAACATTGATATTGTCCTAATCTTTTAGTTTTCACTGAAGGGTTTCACACTATTGCTGAGGCCTTTATTCGTGGGTTAATTAATAGCTATATGTTTGTTAGCTTCACTCTAATGGGGAAATAGGTTAAAAAAAGACAGGGCAGCAGAGAGAAAGTGTTTTCAAAATGTAAGAACTTATCAGCAAGTGATATTTGCCAAAGATGAAATTTATTTTCTCTGTTTTTCCTATTTGACACTGAATCTGTAGATATTTTTGGTTTTTGTTTTTGTTTTTTTTAAAGAAATTAAATACTTTAACTTAAAGTAGGACAGGCATGCTAAGTTACAGTACCGTTTACAGTGATTTTTCCTGGTGCAGGACAGGCTGCGGTGTCCATGGTCACTATTAGATTAGGTTGAAGGTAGCAATCTGATGATGCTCTGTATAGTTTCTATTGCCAAATTCCGCCTTTATACTGAACTGAAACTGGTTAAGGAATGGAACCCAGTCATGATCGTATGATAGCTCATATAATAGGTGCTAATATCGCAGACTGCAGTTGGCTAAATCCATGAAAACAGTTGAACACAGTCTGTGCACAAAGAAAAACAAAAATCTACTGGCGCTCACATCAGAGCGGATGTTAGGGTTCCCTCTCCTTTCATGTTACATTCCACTTTAAATCCTGCCTTTAGTTACAGAGCATGGATGCGTATTTGACATTACTCGGAGTTCAATTAATTATTTTTAAGAAAAAAAAAATCACATAATTTACATTAACTTATTAATATGGGAGTTAAATGCGTTAAAAGTTTATCTAATGTTACTACAATCAATCCTCAACAAGCGCCCACGAAATGTTTCTTTTAACAGTTTTAACAGAAGTATTTCGAAAATAGCTTTAATATATTATTGTTATTCATAATAATAATAATAATAATAATAATAATAATAATAATAATAATAATAATAATTTATTTTGCTCGCTAAGAAAATAAACGTTTAAGTTGAAAAGAACCAAAGGCTTACCACTAAACAAAATATGAATAATCGCATTGTGTATTAAGCCTTAGTAATTCATGCGTTTTAAATGGATGGTTTTGGTTAGGTCAAACTTTGCAGTTATTATTATTATTACTGGAACAAACCAGGCTGTGTTATGTTACTCTGCGAACAGTAGATGGTGTTGTGGTACCTGAAAAAAGTTGGGGGGGGTTTCAGATTTTATGGATTTTGGCTTTAAAAAGGTGTAAGGTCAAAATGTCTCCGTATTTATTTATTTTTTAAGTAATAACAATAGCCTATTGTGAGCATCGTTCTTTACACTTGTTGTTTACAACATTTGCAATATTGCATATCTTGGTAACACTCTAACTTTTTGTATTTAAAAATATATGGTCTTTTTTAAATAAAAATCGATACCCTTAATGTGCAGACATTTTCAAATCATTTACACAGTTGTACCATAATTGTATTTATTTAGAAAACAACATCAAATTACAGTAACAAATTTCCGAACTTTCTTTAACTCAAATGTAAGTGCTTTCATAATCTCTACTTGGTTTTATTCTCTAAGCTTCTTTAATGATCAAGTAGCATACGGGTAAAATAATGAATTGTATCGTTTTGAAAATAAAGAGAACAACCAGTTTAACCCATATTCATGGCTTAATACGCTTCAACGAAAGGCCTGTCGGCGTTTTTTCAGTTAGCTGTTTCCTAAAACTACAAATTCACACTGATCGTCGTAATTGATCGGGACTAACACGAATTGTGTGATATGAATTTTTTTTTCTGAGATACTTCATTTAATAATTCAGCCCAAAGAGCCACATAACGCAGGCCTATCCCACATGAAAAAGTAATGCAGAGTAAAGGGCCCATTCCTTAATCATTTATCCAGGCTGCTTTGACGGCATCTAATAACCCATTTTTCTTTCGTGAGGATCAAGAGGTTTTACTACGGAGTCAAACAACCTCCTGTGATCTTTTGGATGATCTAAACAAGTGACTTTTGTTTTCTGTTTGGCTCCTGGCAAGATAGAGTGCTGGAGACAAAAGAATGAAAGAGTTTCAAAGAATCGGCCGATCCCCTTAGGCTCTTTTGTGTCAAGTTTCTCTTCTTTTTCAGATAGACCGTTCATCCGTGTGATTTGAACCTATTGTCGGGGATTATGTATAAATTCATCCCTCATGGACGGACTGGACTGGAGATTATCTGAGAAAAATAGATGAAATTTAAAAAACGGGTATAAATCAAATCGAAAGAAAAAAACACTTTACCTTAAACTCAGACTGAAAGCTGTAATATTGCAAAAACTTCGAAGCCGAAGGAGAAACGTGTCTTTGAGAGTGCCTGAATAAATGGGAAACTATTTGGGAACACTTTCCAGGACAGAAACCTTTCAGAACTGAGGAGGAGGAAATCACGGCGCACTGAGGAGTGTTGCCCGTCCCAGTCCCCCGTTGACATTTTAGGAATGATAAAAGTTCCGCCTTGCCTGGAGCTACAGCCACGCTGGAGCCGGCCTCTGTCTGTGGCAGATTGCCTTTGCTCATTACAGCAATTATTTTACTCGAGTTTAACCCCTGCTTGAATGGCAGGGAAGTCAAAAGAAAGCCTTTAAAACTGCTGTGGAGTGGCCTGTAATCCCCCCCACCCCACCCCTTCCCCACCTCCTCCTCCTCCTCCTTTATCTGATCCGGAGAAAATGGCAGAAAATGACTCCGGTGTTCAAATTCAGGTTGAGATGTTTTCTTTATGTGCCACATGGCTCCTGACACCCTGTCTTCCCCCTCAAAACGAGGTGTCACCTGGCTCGTTTTACACCCTAAATGCACATAATGACACTCAAGCGGATAGTTTACGAGGAGTTTAGCCCCGGAGAAGCAATCTCCCAATATTTATCGGCGTGTTTTGAAGTCAGCACAACTGGTTGTCTCACCCCCTTCTCTTTCTCTTTCTTCCTCTCCCGCAATCTCCACCCCCTCTAAACTCTTCTGGCGCCAACAAAATCTAGGTTAGTTGTTTCAAAGCGAGAGGCGACAGCTGTAGCAATACATTCCACCAAATACCATGTGACAAGTTTAAATTCACAGCGCACACCAGCCGGAGCGCACAGTGAGTGTGACAGGCTCAACTGCAAGGAAAACTAAAGCAAATGTGGGGCTTTCTATTGTCACTCTGTCAGTATGGGTCACGTGAAGCCTTTAATCGTCCCTGTGACGTTTTAAAATAAAAATAATAATTAAATGTTGAAGTCATGGAGCTCATTAGAAGCCTGTTTTTAATTTCTACTCCTTAATAGACCTGATAGATTTTTTTAAGTAGAAGAAATATTTTTTTCTGTTCATTAAGGCGTTAAAAAGATTAAATACTGACTAAAGTTCCTTACAGTAATTCGCCTCACCGTCGGCGCAACAGTGTGCATCCTGTCAGTCAAAACGAGCAACCTCTCAGTGAAAAAAGAATAAACAATTTATTGTTAAGTTATGTCACAAATATATTCATAATATAAATGAGGATATTCTTCAAATATACATTATTTTACAGTACAATTATCCCTTCCGAAGGGAATCAATCCGACAACAGACAGTGCTGTCATAAGAAAATAATAAAAATAACAATAAAAAAAATGCTGTGGTTTTCAAAATTCACAAAAGAGCACTCACCGATACTGGATTTAGTAACCCACTATAGTTACGCATTGATATGAATGCAATAAAAAGAAAGAAAGAAAATGAAAAGTATGGATGTTGTGGTGTGGCAGCAGCCTACAGATGCAATTAAAAAAAAGCCCAGCCTAAAGTTTTTTTTGGTGCATAGTCTCTGATGTGCAGCCCTTTCGCCTTTTCACCTGGCTGTAAGCACTCGCGAAGGAGTGAGCTGTGTGGCCACAGCACTACAGTCCATACTTAAAAGTCCATTAGTGATATACCATAGGGCTACAGGTTTAAGCTGTTTTCTACCTCCGCGCCGCAAAAATGTCCACCTTAAAGTCATTTAAAGTCTCATCCTATTTATTCAAATAAGATTTTACATTGTTTATGTTCTCCTTCGTTCAAATTCATTCCGGTACAACACAGTTGACATTAAATGACGAATTAAAGTTGGATTATTTTTGCAGTGTGGGAACTTACTGGCGAGGTCTAGAGAAGTGCCTAAACTTCAAGAGCCTCAGAAGGGGGGGGGGGTCTGTGAAGAAGCCTCGCCCTCACCTGACAAGGTGTGACACTGACCTCGGCACCAGGATGCTTCTTTATGTGGTGCAGTGTCACCTCACTGGTCCAAAGGGGTCCCCTCTGAATAGGGGCCCTCACAAAACATCCTTAACCCCCCCTTTGCGTCCCGCTGCTCGTTGCCCTCGTCCTCCGTCCTTGTCAAGCGAGGTGATACATACTGTATCCGACGTGAGCGGCGTACAGTCCAACCGGAGAAACCGGCAGCGAGTGCCTCTGGAACGGATGCGACCCTGCATAGGACGCGGGGACGTGCGTACCGAGAGGAAAGGAAATCCCGAAAGCTGGAGGCAGCATAGGCTTTGCTGCCATTTTCAGTTTTTCAAGTTCTGCCTCTTGCAGGCGTTTGGCCTTAGCTCTTCTGTTCTGAAACCAGATTTTAACCTGGGTCTCCGTCAGGTTGAGAGAACTGGAGAACTCTGCGCGCTCGGCGATAGAAAGGTACTGCTTCTGGCGGAACTTCCTCTCTAGGGCGAGCAGCTGGGATGTGGTGAAGGGGGTCCGGGGCTTTCTGTTCGTCTTGTGTTTTCGCAGTGGACAGGCAGGAGGACTCAGCCTTCCTATGGGAAGACAGAACGATTTAATTCAAAACTCTGGTGTCGACGCGCAATGCCAGATCAACACAAGACCAACAGAAAGTATTACAGACATGTAAAACACAATACCAAGAGAAAAAAACTAGATATTCTCGCTTACATATGCTTATATCGCTAAGAGCCATTTTTAAATTCTAATTTAGTAACTTAACTGAAACTTAAACTTACTTGGAGATGTGGGAGAAAAGCGTGGACTCTGTATCCACGAAGTCCTGTCTTTACTGTCCGGGCTCTCGGGTTTAATCAGCAAGTCTTCGGGCATGTTCATGATCTCGCCCACTGAAAATGTAGAGCTCATAGGTAAAGTCGAGACTGGTGTATCCAGGCTACCAAAAGAACCCATCCGCGCCCCCTTTCCCAGCACTTGGGACGTCCCGGCTACAGAAGCAGGATCCGGCGATGGCACCTCTTTGCTGGGTTTCCTGTCAGCCATCAGCGCCTCTACGCTGAAGGGCAGAATAGGGACTTTTGGCTTCCCGGTTTCCCCCGTGGGACTCAAGCTGGTCTGCATTTCGCCTCTGCTGACGAGAACCGAGCGGGGAGAAATATCTTCAGCCTTCAAACCAGCAGCCAGAGCGGACATGGATATCGATGGGGCCATACAAGGCCGACCGGCACCGCTGAAACGACTCGTTACAAAGCAGTGTCGTGGGGAAGAGATGCTATTGAGTTGGTGCGGTGCTGCCCTAATGTGACGGTATCCTCATGTTTGTGTGGCCAAATTGGAGCGCAGCTCCTATAATAAGGCAGACGTGGACAGAGAGGCAGCCAATCAGGGAAGACGTGGGCTGGACCCGGAGTGAAAGGGGGCTGAAGAAAGTTTCTTTTTTTCTTCTTCTTTTTTTGCAACAACCAATGTCAGATAAACATAAACACGACAAAACTCTTGATGGAGTGTGGTTTCATCAACCCCACACCCCACCCCCTCGCCCCCAATCACTCCACCACCACTACCATTCTAGTGAGTAAAGCTCCAACCATGAAAAGCCAAGGGTGGTTTAAAGGCGTGTGGGTTCCTTCTATTATTGCCCCTACTCGTTTGCCATGTTTGATAACACAACTATACAGTCTCAAACATTTTGACTGGGTCGACCCATTTTCCACTTTGGCCTTGCAGTGCTTTAGGTAAGTCCTGACTGTTGCACAACAATTTCCTCCCTCTGTGCCACGCACCCCTCTTGGAGTGCGCAGTTTATTGATGGCTGCGGGGGCTCTAATCAGATTGAAACACACAGGCCTTCGCAGTCATTTAGGGGTAATTATCGGGCTGGAGGGGGGGGGGGGGGGTGTCAGTGGGATTTTTCCCCATCTTTGACTCCATCCCTTAAAGTAAAAGAACAAAACAAAACCCTGAAAACTGATGATGAGTGGGAGCCAGGGAGAGATATTTTAATCCCGGACTGTCATTGATTTGCCTAGATGTAGCTCGCATACCCTCTCATTTCTGGCCACTCCACGAAGAGGGGGTTTTATATAAACCCACTAAAGCTATCTATTCCCCCTGCATTTAAAAAAAAAAAGGGGGGGGGGGCACAGCCCTGCCTCACTGGATGCACGCATTTGTAAATATAATATTCAAAAAGAAATCCCAGAAATTCACAAACCTTTGGAGTAAAGACAGGCAAGAGATTACCTTTTTTAATTGATGTATTTAGTGATTGATTTTGAGCGCAGTCAGTTCTCGTGATGGCTCCTGCGTTGCTAACTGCCAGGCATTAACAATCTGTCACGATTTGTCAGTCTTCCTAATGGGCAGACAACTTATGTTGTTTTTAGGCGCCAGCAGCGGCGCGGATCAAAGCGCCCCACGTTTTAGGGAGACTATTGAAAAAGTTGAACCCGCACCGAGAGCGCGGCACCGCCTCCTCCTTCTATCCGCCCTATAGCCCGGGGACACTGAGCCATTCAGCCTGAAAAATTAGTTTTCTCTCAGCCGATCGCACGCTATTTCCATCCATTCAAATGAGAGCTATAGTCGTGTAATAGCAGGCTTCTCAGAAGAAAAGGTCAGCGCCCACGGAAGGTTACTTGTGAGCGCGTATCCTCGCTGAAAGGGATTCCATGGTGCAAGTGTTTCCCAAGATACGCGTCAGACCGCGGATCCCTGAGGAGACGAGTTGTCATGACTCGGTGCGGGACTGTGTGGGGTGCTGAGACCTCGAAACAGTCTCAGGGAGGGAAATCCGGAAAATCCATGTTGTGCTGTAGTCATGGTTAAAAATGCAAATGTTTCCTTCGCATGAACGGTGCAAATAACATTCATCAGCGATTTGCCAGCTGTTAACGACAAAGTAAAGCCGATGAGTTAATAATTTGCTGTTCACTGAGGCTTGCCGTCAGTACATATCAAGGAGCCCACGCTGTGTGTGAATGATAGTTTCAGAGAAATGATGGATCCTGAAAAACAATATAAAATCATTCAAATGATCAGTTAAACTTCAGGTTTGTCTCGACTGATTTCCGGTTGTCACTTTCATTTTTAAAGCCTGGTTGCTGTTTTGGGGTTTAGAGCATATAAAATGGAAACGCGTAACGCGCACGTCACCATTTATCATCACGTCAGCTGCACATCCTGTGTGTCAGTCAGTGTGTGCGTGTCTGTGCAGGTAGGAGTCTCCACGTGGAGCTGTTGTGTGTTTGGAAACACTTCAAACCTTAAACCTGAAGCGAGTGGCATCGTTTCTGGAAGCTTTTGAAGTCACACCGGGGTCTCCTTTATCCGACTGAGGTCCCCTCTGCTTGGGGCTCAAACACTTAACCCGCACTCTTAAACAGCGAGTCCTCAAATGAGTGTGCGCAAACACAAATAGGCACACAATAAAGTTAAAGTGAACAGCATTGAGGTTCAACCTGCTTTTTTCCCGGTGATGTCCACTATGAAAGTAACGGATGTTTTGTTTTACTTTTAATAACACAGGTCTGTGATCAGGGAGTGTGTTTTTTTGCTTTAGTGACCACAATCACGCGATAATAACGATCTTCTGATATCCATCAGCTATTGGGCCTAATTGCGCGCTTCGCACACCAGACACTATTTCCTCACATATCTCAGAAAACTATGATTTTAATAAAGTCACAATTAACCCCCGCGGTGCCTGAACGCTGCAGTGTCATTGTTTCCGATTAATTTGCCTTGTGAACAGAGGGCCGGCGGTGCTGGCAAACAATGTTGATGCAATTAGCATCCCAAACAGTGACCTTAAAAAAAGAAAAAAAGAAAGAAAGACCGATATGCCGTGGAGAAGACGATTACCATAGCGTTTCATTTAAATCCCGAGGCAACAAATGAGGGCCGCGTTGAGTTACAAAAAACTGTAAGGCTCATCGGGCCTTTATTTAACTTAATAAACTACCTCTGATTCCTAGTGAGGAGGCAGGGACTCCCGACAAAGGCCTATTGTTGCCCGCTCTGAAAGTTGTCTTAACCCTTTTCATGCAAGGTCTGTCCGTTTAGACTGTAAAGACATAAAAGACAGAGTCCACGTCAAAAGGCATTTCGAGGCAAAAAAAAGTTTGCTCGACCTTCATCTGGGGATCGTGACATCGCGCGCGTGAGTATAACTGCTAAAATCTTGATTTTTTTGGAAACGAACAGGTTCCATCAGCGACGATGAAGTCCGGATAAATATTATCAGAACGCCTGACCTGTGAGGAATTTGCTGAAGCTCTTTGAGCAACATTAAGTGGCTTTGAGTTAATTGGATGGCGACTTCGTGATGCACCTAAGAGAGATGAAAGGAACAGCCGGCAGTCCCGCCCAAGGTCTCCGTAATGATACGTAATGTATCCCATTTCAAAGCAATTAGCGCAATCAGGCGGATCGGGGCACTTTGCTGCCGCTAAGTAACAATGCCTCACGGCCATTTAAGCTTAAGATGCAATTGACACTCTGCAGACTGGTGGTTCAGTCGCTTTAGCAGGTGTACTCATCCAAAGTTCGCAAGTCTCCTTTTTCTGAAGACGGTTTTTAATTCTGTCAAACCTCGCTCACCCATCCAAGCCAAGGCTTCTAACATAATAGTCTGATTAAATCTTAAAGCTTACATGTTTTAAGCTTAAACATGTAAGCTTATATAACTTTGAACAGGAAATAAATAACATAACAAAGACTGTCTCGATCATGATTTTAAAAAAGTAAAATTGAATAAAAGTAAGAAGAAGAGTGTGGTCCCCATCAAAACATGCATTTGGAAAAATTACGCAAATTCAGCATTTTGGAAAACATGAACGTTGAATAGTCATGCATTTCGTGTCATTGTATTTTAGTTATTTTAGTGTGTGTGTGTGTGTGTGTGTGTGTGTGTGTGTGTGTGTGTGTGTGTGTGTGTGTGTGTGTGTGTTTACAGTGTAAGTCAGGGTGAAAAATTAAACAATAAACAGGATGATTATATATCCTGTAATCATCGTGCGCTGGTGTCTCAGAGAATCACAAAGGGCTCGTCTTTAAAGCAGCCATGCTAGCCCCGTGGAATAGCGTGGAAAAGAGAGCACAGAGAAATCAGATCAGATCCAAATGTGAAGCCGTGCCGAGCTGACGGCGATAGGTGCGTTTGCAGCTTGGCAGCGATTTCAACGACTGCGTGCGGGTTATAGAGAAGAAATAAAGATAATTGTTGTTTCTGTCACATGCCTGTTTCTCCGAGTCCATCAGATGCACAGCTTACTGAACTCTCTTCCCCATTCATCTCCCTCACCTTTCCCCGGCTGACAGGCAGGATGAATGCGTCCCCGCGGTGTTGATGAAAACCTTCTTGCGGTTCAGGACAAAAAAAAGGGAGAGTGGGGTTTTCAGTCCCGGTTGTCGCCTCCATCCCCGGGGAGGAGGAGGAAGCATGTTGTTAAAGGAGACTCTCTAAAAAGAAATATCAGGATTTATGATGATTCAAGCTTGTCTGCTTAGCACTGATACCCCCGCAACCAAACTGCAAGTAGCCTACTGCAAATGACAGTCGCACCCCTCCCTCTCATATGATCGTATGATGTAGAAAAAAACGGCACGCTTCGCTCGGCACTTGTTTTTCACATATCAGTGGATTGTAAAACAGCTTGGGTGTTTGGCTCAAACGGCCCTATTTGTGTTAAAACCACAGCAGCAGCACTAAGTTAAACGCACCTGTGACCGCGTCACGATCTGTTAAAATATTCATGCGCTAATCAAAAACCAGCACCGCGACGGCGCTGTCACTGAGGTTATTTAAGACAGCTACCGACGGAAGAACACCGTTTAGAGTAACACGCTTACTAATGAGTTTGATTGTAAAACAATGAACGGTACTAGACTTTGGGCACTTTTTTCAGTGATGGAGTATCAGAATTTAGGGCTAACATTTAAATACGATAACTTTTGATTGATGATTATCAGAAAGCAATATCGGCTTAATTTCACCGCCTCGGTGTGGCACGGTGGGCAAAATGTAGTAGCCTACTTCTGGAACTGTTTTGTGAGTTTGACTTTTATTTGTAAGTACTTTTGATTGTTCTTTAAAAAAAATCAATACTGAAGTTCAAGGGATAAATTCCAACATGGGCCTATGTGTATCATTATTATTATTATTATTATTATTATTAGTTTATAA